ATACAGAAGTCATAATATGGCTCCATGTTGTTCATAGTCATGTAAAGTACTGGGTTTGCTCTTCGGATCTGACCTGGCTTATTTCCTGCTGCTACAAAGACTTCATTACTTGTCCTGAAAGACCAAACATTAACTGTGAAGACAAAGTTGAAGATTCTTCTATCTTTTACTTCCTTTCTATGCAGGTTATATCACAAGTTTAAAAAGAAAATATGGCAGGAACAGAGAACAGAACAACAGAAGCTCCAATAAAAAGCTTGAAGTAACATTTAGTTTATGTCTTTCAATACTATCATCACTCACATCCAAGCCAGCACTCCTCACTTGACAACTGGCTCTGTCTTGTCTTTTCCACTTCTATTTGGCCAAACAATTCGCCACAATATCGTCAATATTAATAACAGTTTCATGTCACTTTCCAGCTTTCAATTCTTCAAGATAATCTCCCCTGTTTTTTCTTAATACATCACTGTTTTTATACTGCCAGTTATATCTCAACTCTGTACTATGATATTCAATACTTGGAAAGAATAATCAAGAGTAATAAAACTGTTAATTTCAACACGGTATCTAAACCTCTGGTTGAATAGAAACTGCAACATTTGCTTTTTTTTTTTTAAAGTGGACTTGGTATTTTTTTCAATGAAAGCTGTATTGTGATAATATGCAATGGTGTTACAAATGTTATAATTAGAGGAAAAGTGGAAGCAGTGTACTTGTGATTCTATTATTATCTCAATACACCTTGTGTCGCTTAAAGTTAACCTTTTGGTTAAAAATATAGAGAATTAGGAGCAGTCAGCCCTTGCTGTTACTTTGTATAAACAGGTGCTTTTTGAAGTTTGTACCTACAAAAAGTTGTTTAGCCCTAAATCATTAACAGCTGATTTTTATCCTCACATACAGATATAGCTGGTTTTAATGCCTAATGCTTAGCCTTAACTATGAACCTGCAGAGCATACGTTTATGTTTCCTAATTATGTTTCTTCCTTGTCCAGTAAAATGCATTAGTCTTTAAAGTGCATTTTTCATTGCTATTTTATGACTAATTTCTCCATCAAAGGAGAAAATTATATTTAAAATATATAATGTTCTAGTCAGCTCTTGTTAATTCACATTGAGAAATTGATGTAGAGTTTATATATTTGTGAAAACTTCCTTTAAAACGATCTTGCTAAACTGAATGAGTTAACAAATGCAATGCATTTGAATAAGAATTTTTAATGGGATTCTAGTCAACTGAAAAAATTTACTACATTGTGTTATTGATCATTCCATTTTAGAATGAATCCTTCTAGGCCAATACTGATTTATGATTTACCTTCTTTCTATTTAACTGCCATTTCCCAATTCCCCTACCACAAAGACATACAAAACATACAAAACACACACACACACACACACACACACACACACACACACACACACACACACACACACAATTCATTACTAACTACAAATCACACAGAGTTTCAGTCTTCCCTTAAGAGGCTATAAGCTAATTTCAAAGTTAATAAATTTTCAAGTAAAGAAAAAATAACTAATTTTGCCATTAAAAATGTTGAGTATATTTTTAAAGTATATTTTTAAGTCAAACATCTAATTATCCAATGCTCTTAAAGAATGCCTATTGACTTGGTCCAAGTAAGATTTACCTGTTTAATTATTTCCAATGATATTTTCAAGAATAATGAACTATTCTTATGACTACTTCCTGTTATGTAGGCACATTTAGGATGTGTATTTGAATTTGTGCTCAACCTTTATTTAGAAACATTCTGAAAAGTTTTAGGTGATTTTTTTCGTTTTTTTTTTCTAGTTTTGTTGTTTCTATCTTATACATCAGAAAAATGATTTTTTTAATGTTCTTAGAGAACAGATTGTATTAGCTAATTCTTTTTTTTTTCTACTTCTTTTTGGTCCTGCTGAATTCAAGTGCTATTCAAAAGAGAAAAAAAGAAATTAAAAAAACTTACCTATGACTAGGATAGTAATATTAAAGAGAACATCATTTGACATCAAAGTAGGAATAGGGAAACAGGAGTGTAGACTACCAATCAATATCCCTAATTAGGCCACACCCAGAATGAGAGTCAAGTACAAGGAAATCTCAACAGACATTAATCCAAATGTAACTTCGGATAATCAATATGTAACTAGGAAGCTGTAGTTCAATCCAGGTGGTTTTACACATATGTAACTATGAAAGCCACTATTCAATCAAGGTAATTTTACATACTTCTTTTATATTGAATCTAGTAATTAAATAGGTATTTTTCACTTCATGATTTATCTCATTAGGGAACTCAGAGATGACTAAGGAGAGGAAAAGGAAAAAGGGAAGAAGAAAAAAACTGGTAAGAAGACAAGGAGACACACATACACCCATATGCCCAGCACTCAGAAGGCTGATGGGACAGGATCACAGTTGGAGGCCAGCCTGGCCTACAAAGCAAGACCCTATTAAAAAAAAAAAAGCAACAAAGAGAACACAAAGCAAGGAAATAGGATGCACAGGAATAAGGAGAAACAGAAAGGATGAAAGGAGAAAAAGAGAGGAGAAGGAGAAAGGGGAAGTAGACAGGAACAGTGCACAAAACGACAAAGCAAAACAAAAATTGCTTAAAGAAAATCTTTCATGTTGCTGTTAAAGGGGGCTGTTCCTATTGAAACAAACACTGTTATCTTGGATGGGTGGAGGACTGAGGATTACTCTGACAATTTCCACAACTAATGCCACTATCATGTTCATCTGTGTCACTGGATTGTCATCTTCCATTGTGAATGAAGAACAGAATAAAACATATTGTCCCCCTAAGGCTTATAAACATAATCTCAATCGCAGAGCTACAACAAATAATTGGACAAAGTCATAGAATAAATCAAAGAACATGTCTATCCAAGTGAACAGTAACCACTGGACTGTACATTAAATACACTTGGTTACAGACAGCTCCATCAAACATGCTTCAAATGTACCCAATAATTTACTTACAGCCACGCAAGTTTCCCATAAGGCCATCACTAAAATCTAAAAGCTTCACTATGAAAATTTTCTGTCAAATTTCATTCCTCACATAAGTTGATAAAAGCCTCACAAATCCTCTCTTGGAGAGACTCCCTTATTTTCCAACCTAATACCACAGGACTGAAAAAAGGCTTGTTAACACCATGTAACTTTCACTGTAGTGTACATAACATATTTCTGATGTCATAAGCCTGAGCCTTTTATTTTCCATACCCATCTGAAATTATAGCTTCAGAAATGGAAGCAGTTACTCTATAAACAATCTGAAAGTATCATGCTCCTGGAGTAAACTGAAGCTACTTTTCTCCCTGCTATTTTCATGAGTTTTTAAATTAACCTAATTAAAGTCAGTAAGACTTAAAATCTGTAACACCATAGTTAAGTCTTCTTTCATTTCCCATAGTACAGTGTCTTTCTAAAGCCAGCAAAACTCTCTACTAGTAGTATAGAGTAGTTCAGTGGTAGACTCCTTGGCTGAGCATGCTTCAGGATTCCATATCCAGCACCGCACAAAAAGTATTTTTTTCTTTTTTTTTTATTGTGAACATACTGTACAGAGGGGTTACAATTACATGGGCAAGATAATGAGTACATTTCTTATCCAGCATTGTAGCCTCCTCCTTTGTTTACCCTTCACATCCCTTCCCAGCCTCCCCCTGCCCTCCCACCCAATCCTCACCCCCCCCCCACCACCAAAGTTGTAAAGTTCGTTTTCGACATGACAACTTGTACTTCTGATTGTTGCAACGGGTCCACCGTATCCTTATTTAATTGACTTGTTTTTCCCCTTCCCCTCCACAAATTATACTGACATCAAATACAGTGAAAGCAGGGGTTATACTATGGGGGAGGGACATACAAAGCAACAAAGAAATAATCTTATAAATGCGTTAGAAACAAATGCATGAAAGAAAAAAAAAACATTAAAATACATATCTAAGGGTTCATTTTCCTAACATCACCTTATCTGATCTTTTCTGCTTGACTCATACATATACTAGATATTGCAAATAAGGGAAACCATGGGACCTATGTTTCTTTGGGCTTGGCTTACTTCACTTAATATAATTTTTTCCAAATCTTTCCATTTCCTAACAAATGGGGCAATGTCATTCTTTCTGATGGAGACATAGAATTCCATTGTGTATATATACCACAAAAGTATTTTAAAATATTTATTTAAATTAAATAAAATTTGCATGCAACAAAATAAAGGACCTGTCTTTCAACAACTACATTTCTGTATAACAGCATAATTCTAAAGTGCTACCATTCTTAGCAAGTGAACTCAAAAGGATGAGAAAGGAAGAACTGAATAGAAATCTGCAAAATTTAACATCTTAACACACATCTGAACTCCTAAAATATGCATGTTCATTTTCAGTCATAGTATTTGATCAAATACCTATCTCATTTAGAATGCTGTGAAATTCATAAATTTCAAAGTTGATTTTATGGTTCCCTTGAAAACAAGCTGATGAAAACCATGCTTATTGTTATCAATAATAAAGCTGATTCAGGCGATCTACAATTACTCAGAATTTAATCTAGTTTATTTGCAGAAGAAACCTGAGTGGCTCTGCGTTTAGAGATTGAACACCTTCAGAACTACTTCCATTTTAGACTGCAAATGTCTTTTTTGTTTCCATAGTAAATCTATTGTGACCTTTCTCAAGTTTTGACAGTCTTCTTGCAAATAAGCAAGGAAAAAGTGCCCACTATTTTTATAGCCAACTATTCCAAATTTTATTATCTCAGCATTACTGAGGTTATTACAAGGTGAATCTTTAGGGATTATTAATTTAAAGATACTGTGCAGTCTGAAATATCAAAGGAAAGGCCCAGCAGAAACATACACCCAGAACCAAAGGCAAAAAGCAAACTATATGCATGACTCCCAACCTATTTTGAGCTAAGAAACAGGCAATAAACACAAACAAAAGCTTAAAAACATTATAGTCTATTGCTTACTTTCAGCAGATCCTTGGAGAAATCAACACCTTCATTTACTCCTTGAAGATTTGCAATGAACTCTTGGCAGGTCATCTTCTTTCCAATATTCTGGAATAAAGGAAAAGCATAGATCATGATGGTATTTATAGAATTCAGATTAATTCTTAAATATATGCTTAAGAAGAGAAATCATGGAAAAACTTTAAAACATCTATACAAACATATGCTGAATAGATATAAAGGAAGATATGTAATACAATTTGAATGCCTAAGAAAGGTGTATGCCTAATTGTGCTTTTAAAACCGTCCTTATGTAAAAAGATAAAAATCACACGAAGCCTTTAACTAACAAAAAATCTGGAAAGTCAATGCCACACTTACATGTTATACATAACAGTTTTTAGTTTAAAAAGGATAAAGTGACATTTCTGACATGAACTCTGAAAGCTCCATTGTTCATTAGTGTTTTCTATATACTGTCAAGAGCTGTGAAGAATCCGTAATTTACCTCCTTTTAAGCTAACAAATTTGTCTGTAGCTGAATTTTTTCATTATCCTAACAAGCTTATCAATTCTAAAATATTATTCAAGCAAACACTGTCCATGGGATAAATCTAATTCTAATTATTGATTTTTTAAATTTATTTAAAGGGTCCAGTTTAATTTATTGTAATTTATTCATAAGTAAGGTACTGAGTACATTTCTTTTTAAACACTGTTACCCTCTCCCTCCTTTTCTCCAGCTTACCACTCCTGTCCCCACCAAGTTGTAAAGTTCATTTCCAACACAGTGTCTAATGATTATCATTGTTGCATTAGTTCATCCTTTGTCCTGCTATTTCTGTGATTCCCTTTCCCTTATACAAATCAGATAATCTTATATACAAGACAAAGGGTACAGAAAACTAAAACAAAAAGAAAAAATAGAAGTAACTGTATACAAGATATAATAAGAACCCTCTATTTCCAATTCTTGGAATTCATTTTGATACACTTCATTATATATGGTCCATTTCTATCTCAAAGATTTTTAGGTGTTAAGATAGGACCTTATACACCATCGTATTCTAACCATTTTCTTCCCAAATTGATTCATAACTTCCGATAAACAACCCTGCCAGCTGCATATCAGAAAGTACATTCATGGGACTTCCCCATAGGTTAAAGCATGGAGATTTACTAAGACCTCTTAATAAACTGTGAGACACAGATGTAGTCCTTTGAAATTAACCCAATATTTGCAGTCAAATTTGAGAAGCTAATGATTTGCATCATGACCTCTGAAATCAGAAAACATTTATCAAATCTAGAGAGATAAAACAAAATGGAAAACACTCCAGAGAGAGAGAGAGAGAGAGAGAGAGAGAGAGAGAGAGAGAGAGAGAGAGAAACTCTATTTAAACCCTCATAATACCAGACAGGCAAAAATCTTAAAAGTTTAGCTAATGAAGGTTCCATCAGAGATAATATTAACAAGAAAAGCCAAAGACCCTGTTTCTGAAAGTTTATAGTCAGATAAACTGAAGGGTATAGTCTGCATTTATTATATTGTCCTTTTTTTCCAAACTGAACTTTTCTCTAGTTATCTTTTAACGGTGCACTAAATGCTTCTAGAGGTAAATTATTTGATAATGTATCACTTCTAAAATACTGATTCTGATACATTGCTCATCAGAATTTTAAGATTTAAAGAATTTAAAGATGTTATCTAAATATATCTATATAAATATATTTGGGGAAAGGAATATCTAAACTGTAGATAATTTCATGAACTAAAGGCAAGAGTCTATGACAAATTGTTTGTTTCTATAAAGACAGTATTTTAGGCCCTGAAAACCATATAATCTCTGTTCAACATCATTATTATAAAGTGTGAAGGTGTAAACAACAAATGTGTCTAGCTGTGTGCCAATAAATGAAGAGAGAAAGGGGGAAATACAGTTATAAAATTCAAGGCATATTCTATAAAATTAAGAAAATTGAGGGAAGGGTTGGGGTTGAGAAAGATGGGGGAGAATGAGGAAAGAGGTAATAATTTTGTTGAGTGCCAACTCTTTTGTACAACTACTTAATGGATAAAAGTTAAACTACAACTCTATTTATAAAAAAGGCCCAGAAAGATTTTGCCTATGATTTATACCTTGCCCGCTCCTGGCTTAAAAACAGTAATAAAGAGAACTTGAAAGGAAGAAAACATGAGCAAGTATGCAAACACATTGAACAGCTTCATTTATTTTGTCTTCTTTTCATTTATTATTGTTATTATTTACTTTTTGTTACTATAAAGGGATTATAATTAATGAGCCAGTTAATGAGTACATTTCCTTTTGTACAGTGTCTTCTGTTCTCTCTCTCACTCTCTCCCAGTCCCTCTCTTTCTCCACCCGTGAGTTGTACAGTTCACTTTTATCAGTATCCAGTGATAATGCACTTTTTCACCCTTTTTCTGTACAATCCCCCACCCTCCCGAAGATATATAAGCAAATGCTATCTTGTCTCCTGACTGTAGGTTTTCCCCTTGACAAAAAGGTTTTCTCCACTCACCACAGCAAGAGAACCAGTTCTTATTTCAGTAAATAGGACCATAAAGGGAGGTGATGGACACTTTCATGGGGTCATGGGGAACAGAATAGACAACGAGAAATGACCAAACCACACAAGCTCCTATCTACAATGCAGCATAAAGGAGATCACCAGGTACTCTGACAACTGAACCTCTTCAAAGCTCCAACTAAGCCAACTTAAATTCAATTGTTAGTTGTTTCAAGTATTTACTAGGAAAGTATATAACAGTCATCAGAGTTCACATGTACTCTAAACCAGAGGTTGAATGATCTGAAATTGCATTTTTAATACTGTAGGGAGGGTCTGGTATAGGTTTGTGGGAACCATGCTTTGAAACAAACTAAAAACCTTAAACGCCCATTGGTAAAAGCTGGCTTCATAACTCTCTGATTTTAATAACCCAGCAGTCATACCCATACCCACATGACAATCCCACTTCCTCCTGTAAGGTTTAATCAGTGATCAAAAAGCTACTTCAGCATGTAACTTTGCTTAAAGCTCTTGTTTTGCCTTTTGCTTCCCTAATATGTGGTTGTGCTATGCTGCCCCCAGGTGTCCATCCTTGTATATTGCAGAGACCTCCACAAATTCTCAAGCAGAAAGCTGTAACACAATGTATGTCCTTTCATAAATCTTAACGCTCAGGCAAATACAAGTTCAACCTTTTAGAAATTTGTGGTATTTTCCCTAGCAATACATTCCCTTTAATACATTGCCACTGATAAAGGAACCAAAAGTGGTTAAAAAATTATATACATGCATACACATACACAGGCACATATAAAACCTCCACTAGAATATATGTATGTGTATAATATATACATATAGTATTCTAGCTCAGTGATTGTCAACTGTATCTATAAAGTCAAACATAATTTTTAATTCTAAAGACATAATTTACTTTGCTACTCTTATTCTCTCCTGAGCTTACAGTATCTATTGCCATAGATTAATTGCAAAGCAATAAGAACATAGTTGTCTTCTATTTAGAAAAGTATTAAAAATATTTGCAAACATTCAAGGCTATTCTTTTCCTGATTTTTTTTCCATTTTGGAAAGTATGATTCTTTGGCAGTGGCAGTTCCTGGGTTTGAGCTCAGAGATTCACATTTTCTAGGCAGACCATCCCTTGAACCATGCCCAGCCTCATCCCCTAAAGCAATTTGCTTTAGTAAATTTTCAGACAGAGTCCTGACCTTTTTACCCATGCTGACCTTGTACATAATTGGACTTACAGGTGTCCATCAAAATGCCTGCTCTATTGATATGGACAGGGTCTTGCTAATTTTTTGGCCTTAAACTATGATTCTCCTCTCTTTGCCTCCTAGATAGCTAAGACTACAGGCATGAGCTATCATGCCTTGCCCTTAGAAAAGAAGGGACCTAATCTATTTACTGAATAGATTTAAGTTTTTAATTTTTTTGGGGGGGGGTTTGGTCATGGGGTCTGAACTCTGGGCCTGGCACTGTCCCTCAGCTCTTCAGCTCAAGGCTAGCGCTCTACCACTTGAGCCACAGCACCACTTCCGGCTTTTTTCTTTTTGCTTATGTGGTGCTGAGGAATCGAACCCAGGACCTCACGCATGCAAGGCAAGCGCTCTACCACTGAGCCACCTTCCCAGCCCGAGTTTTTAAATTTTATTAGATATTAAATTACTGAATAGACTGAATAGATCTAAATTATTTGATAAACATTTTTAAATGTTATCAGCTTAGTTTCTAATGTGGTATGTGCTAATATACACGAGAAAATATTTTTCTCAAAAATTTTAAGAGTATAAAGATATCCTACAAACAAACCTTGAGAAGATGTAAGAGGCAACTGTATTAGTATCTCATAGAAAGTATCCCCATTTAAAATTTAAGCAAAGAAAAATACACTAGATTCATTAAAAATATTAAAACTAGGGGCTGGGAAGATGGCTCAGTGGTACAGCGCTTGCCTTGCATGCCTGAGGCCCTGGGTTCGATTCCTCAGCACCACATAAGCAAAAAAGAAAAAAGCCGGAAGTGGCAGTGTGGCTCAAGTGGTAGAGTGCTAGCCTTGAGCTGAAGAGCTGAGGGACAGCGCCCAGGCCCAGAGTTCAGGCCCCACGACCGAACCCAAAAAAAAAATAAAAAAATTAAAACTAATCTTTACTTTTAACTTGATTGCTAGGAATAGGGATTGAGTAATGGGATCAAAGGCCAGATTAAGCTTATAATTGCCCTCTTCATCCCTACTCCTTCCTCTCCCCTAGACATCTATGGAAAGAAGAAAGAGCAAAAATGACTCCATACTGAGTGTAAGCTGCTTTTATATTCTCAGTCTACCATTTAAGTCTGCAAAACCCACAGTGCTGAGGAATAATATACAGTGACCCAAACACTGCGTAAATGAGATCAGCCCCTTGTGAGTCCCACCAACTTAGTTGATATGTTTCCCAATTACAAACCTGCCCTGAGTAAAGTAGAATTTTTTAACAAATGATAGGAGTTAGGAGAAAAAGAAGAGTTTCACTGTGTGGGGGAGGGGGGGGGGGGTCACAGAATCTAACACAATC